GGGGATATTTATAAACAGTAGTAAATTCTTCACCTGAGACTTCATCTAACTCATAATGGGAGCCATTCCTGTGGGATTACTAACTAATGTTACCTCGGCTTTTCACAGTTTTGTGACTTTGTTTTCGTAATTGCACATCTGAGATTATACCAGTGGCTGAATTTTTTAATCACCCTTATTCTTTCAAGGGCAATATTTACCATCTTCATTTGGGACAGGGTTGTAGTAAAGTTGAGGTGTCATTTTCTCCCCAAGGCTGGAGTTGAAGCTCAATGGATGTTCTGAGTTCAGCACAGGAACCCATCCCCAGTACTACCCTGAGAGCAGAATACTGTTAGCCAAACCAATTACTATAAAAGGGCAGGTCAAAAATACAGTAATAAGCCATTAAAAAAGCAATCTCCTGAAGAAGGACACTTAAAAGAAATCCCATACTAGCTCAGAATTGAGTATATTAGAGGGTTATTTATTTAGGACTAGACTCACAGATCACAATCCTCTGCTGGAATGGGGAATAGCAACCAAATCCTACAGCCAGAAAAGAGGCCAGATGCACACTTTACATTGGCATAAATAGTAGATGAGGCCATGCCCAAGTAGGCGGGTAACTTAAAGGCTACTGTCAGTAGGAATTCCTACAGCACCTCCCCTTTTTGTTTAAATAAGAAAGTTCTAAGCCTAATACAAAGTTATGTACAATAAGAACAAATATCAGGTATAAAAATTAAAAATACAACCAGCATAAACAATATCAAGCAAAAAATATATGATAAATGTTTCAATAATTATCCTATATTAATGAGTTTAAGTCATATATAAATAGCTTGGCCAAGGTATGAGAGGAAAGTAACTTCAACTATCTAGTCATCAACCCCATCAAAGATCCGAGAAAGGAAATAATATTACTTGAGTAAGCAGAAAGTGTAATCAAGCAACTTCCAAAACGTGCAACAAACGACAGAGGCAACTGGCTACCTGGGCAATTACCCAAAGTCTCATTTGCAATGTTGGAGCAACCAGCTTTGGCTAAGGCCTAGAATAAATGACAGACCATTTTCAGAGGCAAGAAATTTTTCAAAACTGTCTTACCCTGTCTTGGCAAGATTTGACAGTCTTTTTTCTTGCATCCTGCTTGTCCTTCTGGACATCATGCATTTTGTCAGTGGTCAATGCATAGACAGTTCCTTTCCTAAAGGCCAGTCTTGCCAAGAATAAAACAAGCTCCAAGTGGAGTGTCTTCTGTGCTCAACATTCTCTCGGGAATAGATGGGTGCTGCCAGGAGCAATTGTGTCTCACACCTACAGAACCCTAAGTTATTTAAATGCCATATTCTACAGCTCTTCAACTATAACAGTTTTAGGAAGTAAAGGGACATTGGTTGTACTGTGTTGTTTTCTGTCCTGCCCTATTCCCGCAGTCGTTAAGTCCCAAAGAAATCACACAGAGGTCTACATTAGTTATAAACTGATTGGCCCATTAGCTCAGGCTTCTTATTAATTCTTATAACTTATATTGCTCTTGTCTATGCTAGCCACATGGCTTGGCACCTTATTCAGTGAGGCAGTCACATCTTACTTCTTTTGTGGATGAGTCACAACTGCAGAAAGAGCTTTCCTCTTCCCAGAATTCTCCTGTTCTCATTGACCCGCCTCTATTTCCTGTCTGGTTGTCCTGCCTATACTTCTTGCTTGGCTATTGACCAATCAGTATTTATTTAAAATATAATCAACAGAATACAGACTATTGTCCCACACCACTGTGTTAATGAAAATATTAGTTACTGAGAGTATAAATGGAAAGTAAATATAAAAGCATAGTAAGACTAGCAGTTGGCATTAGGAAAATAAAGTGGAAAAGCAAATAGAAGAAGGAACAAAGGGAGGCAATGAGGTATATCTAGCTGATGGCAGAAGAAAACAAGAATGGCAAAGACATGCAATCAGACAAACTGAAATATTTCCAGCTCTCAGGAGGCTGAGTCAGGGGAGACCACTAAACCAGTCCAGCAGATAGTCTTTGGGAAAATGTATTCAAAAAATGAAGTAGGGGGAGGAGAAGAGGGAGAGGGGGAAGGAAAGGAAAGGAGAGAAAGAGAGAGGGGAGAAAGAGGAAGAGAAAGGGGAGGAGGGATTGAATTTGGGTACTTGCTTTTTCAAGGCATGGTTTATTAACTGAGCTATCCCTTAAGTTCCTTCTAGACAGTCTTTAACTGGACCAGTTAGGAATGGTAGCCTTGCCTTTGGGAAGTCATTTCAGAGTAGTGGCCATGCTTATGCGGGTCCGTTACAAGTCTGGTTGCAGATACTGGCTATGCTGCTGTGTGTGCCTTGGTGACCGGGCACACACAGAATCGTGCCTTGTTCCACTGCACACTAAGATCAGATGTCTGCATTGCTGAATATCATCTGGATCTGATTCAGTGTCCCCGCTGCTGGTGAGAAGTATTCGGCAGGCTGGGTTATAGATTATAGTTCCATGACATTTGCTCTGTGTTCCCAGAGTGTGCAGCTCCCAGAGAGGGTCTAGTATCACTCTAGTGCTGTCTGGGCTGGGGGGAGGGTAAAATGGTTTCTTGCCACTGCTGTGGTTGAATGGCTATTCTTCCCCCGCTGGTGGCATTGCCATGCAAAATTCTTGTCCTTTTCCCCTCTCTTTTTTCTGCTCTTCAAATTGCCTGTTACTTAGATCAATTTTGGACCTCGGTCTAGCTGTTTCAGCCCTTCTCATGGACAAGAGGGGGTCACACAATCAATACCAATACCTGGGGAACGACTCTGGACTTAGACTTCAATTCTGTAGTGGTTTCTTATTGCTAGTAAAACTGGAGGTGTTCAGTTGTCCCTTATCTCTCACAACAACAGAAGTGAAGAGCACTGGCTGCTCTTCCTGCGGACCCAGGTTGAATTCCCAACACCCACGTGGCAGCTCACAACTGGCTGTCACTCCAGCTCCAGGAGAACCTATGCCCTCTTCTGAACTCTGTGGGCAGCAGATACATATGTTATATAGAGATGAACATACAGGCAAAACATTCAGACATAAAATTTTTAAAAAATAGCTATTGCCTAACTAATCTTGATTCATTTTCCAGAGATTTTAGAAAAATCATGTGTCCTTGTTAGTATTTTGTCAACTTTTGCTACAAGCTTGAATTATTTGGGAAGAGGAAGAGGAACCCCGATTGAGAAATGTCTTCATGAGATCACCTGCAGGCAAATCTGTAGGGAATTTTCTTGATTAGTAACTGATGAGGAAGGACCCAGCCCCCTACAGACAGTGCTATCTCTGAGCTGGCGGTCCTGGTAAGAAAGCAAGCTTAGCAAGCCATGGAGGAGCAAGCCAGTAAGCAGCATTTGCTTGTGGTCTCTGCTTCAGCTCCTGCCTCCAGGTTCCTGCCCTGCTTGGCTTCTTGCCCTTCCTGCCTCAGTGGTGGATTGGTGTGTTTGTGACTGTAAGCCAAATTAATCCTCTCCTCCCTGAGTTACTTTTGGTCATGCTGTTTTATCACAGCAATAGAAAAACAAATAAAGCATGTCTTCATGTTATCTGCCATCTTCTTCGTCAACTATTTGTCCAAGAAACCAGGTCTTTTGTTTTGATCTTTAGTACTTTTTAATTTCCTATGAAATTTATTTCCATCCTAATCTTTATTATTTCTTTCCTTTCTTTCTTCCTGTGAATATGGTTTTTGTTTATTATCACTATTTTATAGTTCTTTAAAGTACTACAAAGTCATGCTGTGGAGCCTATGCTGGCCTAATACTCATGATCTTCTGCCTCAGCCCCTCAGTGTTGGAATTAAGAGTATTCATCACCATTTGAATTCTTTGATACTGGATACACACATATTCAGAAATGTTGTTCAATTGAAACTTTCAATATTACATAATACTCCTCTTTATCGCCTTTCACCTCAGGTTGTAAAGTGTGCTTCACCTTATGTTAGGTATGGCTACTCCTTCTGTCTTTGCCTTTCATTTACATAAATATTGTTTTCCATCCTCTCACTTTACATATATCTTTAGACGGAAAGTGAGTTTCATACAGGCAACATGCTTGTATTTATATTTTGACCTGTGCTGTTTAAGAGTTGCTTTGTGTCTTTTAATTGAAGAATCAAGTTTACACATAGGTAGATAGGTAAGGTAGGAAGATAGGTAAGGTAGGTAGCAAGGTAAGGGAGGTAGGTAGATAAGGTAGGTAGGTTAGGTAGGTGGTAAGGTAGGTAAGGAAGGTAAGTAAGAGAGGTTAGTAGGTAAGATAAATAGGTAGGTAAGGGAAGTAGGAAGGTAAGGAAGGTAGGTAGAAAAGGGAGGTAGGTAGGTAAGGGCGGTAAGTGTAGAGAATCTTTCTCTGTCCCACCAGATAGCTCCCAGATCATGACACAGAGAATTATTATTCATTATGAAAGCTTGACTAATAGTTTAGGCTTGTTTCTAAATAGCTCTTATAATTTAAATTAACTTATTTATATTAATTTACTTTTTGTATCCCAGCTTGTTAAATAAGCTGCATAAGTAAAATACCTTAAACAAGAATAGAAACATAGATACAATATAACAAAAATAATCTTAAATTTGTATCAATTTATAAAAATTCATACAAATGTACAATATTTGAGACTAGTGGTTGTTAAAAGTAGACCTGATAATCCACCTTTTAATTTCATCATTTCTTTACTATATCCCTCCTTTTTCCATGGAAAGAGATTTTTGACTCTAACTCCTTTGTGAAGCTTTTTTTCTAGACCATACCAATGACAACTTATAATCAAGCCCCCTAAATGATAACAAACATCTATAAACCATCGAATGGCCAAAAGCCATCCACCCGACCTCTTGGGAATGTGGGTGTCATGTTCTCTAGACTGCTTTCTGTTGTCTTGGGGCACTGGAATTTTTAGGAGACCCTGGGAAAATTGGGATAATTGTCAAATCTTGGGAGAGTCGGATGCAACATCTGTTGTTCAGTCTCTGCAATGGGAAAGTGTGATTCTTACCTGGCTGGAGTAGTCTGTAACGCTGGACCATCTCAGCCAGCAGCCTTGAAGCTGTTCTGTATGCAGAACTCTGAGAAAACTGCAACAGAGGGATTCTGAGAGGCTGGAGCACCCGGGCCACCCATTTTCGTCAGTTTTTGGTCCCCTTGCTCTGAAAACACATAAAATTTCAAAGGTAACATACATATCTGAACACAAGGATGGAATTGTGGTGTGCACAAGTCAGTTAAAGATAATTTTCTGTTCTATGTTTGAGCAGGTAAAGACATCTATCTACTTTATAAGTCCATTTTGATTGTATAATCAAACTGTAATATAAATCTCTATCCATAGCTTGTGAAAGAACAACATGTGAAAATAAGTCAAGATGAGTCTGGAGCCAACAAGATCTATCATGTCTCATCCCATCTCAGAACTGTTCCCACGTCAAAGAATCAGCTTGCACATCACCTGTCCTCTAGTCTTTCTTGGTTTCCTCCCCCATGTCTGTAGCTAAGATACTCAGGAGATCTCCCCTGGTCAAATCTGATCTTTATTAGTCTGGAAGGAATCCACAGTCTTTTGTTTTCTGTGGAAAAAAAAAAGCACAACCTCTTCTCCAATGCAGCATATTGTTTGACTTCCATTTTGAAGTTTAGACATTTTTAAAATATATAGGTTGGTTTGATTTATCAGTTTCTATAATCCAATGTCTCTTATTAGCTATTGTTTATTCATCAGCAATCAAAAAATTCAAAAACAGCACATAATGTACAGGATCCAGACTGGTATTTCCCATCTCTATGTTACAAAAAGTTTATAAAAACAAACCTGCTTGTTGTAAAAGTTGTTTTGAAATTGTGGCAACTTAAGAGGACTTGAAGACAAGAGAAAGGGTTCAAGACAGACAGTAAAAATTTTAGAAAACACCTCAATAAAACCTTGTAGTCACATTCTACTCTATTCACTTTTCTTCTTATTTTATTTTTATTATATTTTAATTCATTCATTGGGAATTTCACATCATGTACCCCAATCTCACCCATTTCCCAGTCCCTCCATATCTGCCATTCACCTTTATACTGTCCCCCACAAAAGGAATGTCAACATCTGTAGAACATATCTAGGCCCTGCTGGATTGCAGAGTCTCCACTGAGAATTCGGATGTTCCTCTAACAGGCCTGCCTTTAGATGTGATGTGTGCTTTTTTCATTACAGCCTTTAACACCCTTTCTTTGCTCTGCACATGTAGTATTTTCATTATGTGTCATGGGAGATCGCTTTTCTAGTTTTGTGCCCTTGGTATTCTGTATGCTTCTTGTACCTTGGTAAGTACTTCCTTCTTTAGATTGGGAAATTTTTCTTCTATAAATTGTTAAAAAAAATACTTTTTGTGTCTTTATCCTGTTTATTTTCTTCTTCCCCTTATGTATTATCTGTAGGTTTGTTTTTTTTATAGTAAGGGTTTTTTTTAATTTAAAAAAAAATCAATTTGAGTATACCAGGATTTGATGGACAGTGATACCTTATAGGAGATGAAGTGCTCCTTTAACTTCATATACTAATTATTTATATTATTTTAGAGATGATACTATAAATAGATCATTTTCCCATTCTTCCCCTTTCTCCAAACACACTCACAAATCCCTCCTTGTTTTCTTTCAAGTGCAACCCCCTTTTTTCATTAATCATTGTTACATGTAAATGTATATACATCCACATTACTAAATACAACCTGCTCAGTCTGTACAATGTTACTTGTATGTATAGTGTCTCAGACTTCCTGAATGTTTTGCTCCTGAATTTTTTTTTAAGATTTAACATTTTATTTGACTGAGACAGACAGAGACACAGAGGCAGAGACAAACAGATAGAGATACGGAGGCAGAGAGAGAGAGAGAGAGAGACAAAGACAGAGACAAAGAGGCAGAGACAAACAGATGAGATATGGAGGCAGAGAGAGAGAGAGGCAAAGGCAGAGACACAGAGGCAAAGTGAAAGAATGATTGGAGCTGTCAGAAGCAAGTAGTTTGACTGCTTGATTGACAGCTTTTATTTCCCCCTTCTCTACCCCACTCTGGTTGGACCAGGAATCACTATTATCACTATTACGTCTCCAAGCCCATCAGGATTATAAGTGATGGTACCTGAGATCTGAGGTCCCAATGGAGGCAGGGGCAATCATCATTCTGTGAATGTTCAACTACTTTTATAGAAACCATGGAGCCGTCAGCCGACCAGCTGCTTTTTCTGAGTTGAGGTGCTATTCTCACAACATTAGGGTGCTTTGCATTCACGGCTGTGTGAGGACCCTGTTGCAGTCTCAGAGCTCACTGTAGTGCTCAGGCGGTTGCCAAAGCTGTGGCTTAGGAAACTCTGCTTCAGTCACGGCTTCTTCAGACACCCTGAAACAACCCCATAAAGCTTCCCATTGACAAGTAAAGCTTCTGATGGCCCTTCGATGCCCCCAACAGCTGCTTTATATCTCCCACCCATCCTGCAGGTGTCCTCAATCCCCTCAGTAGGCAAACATCCCTATTCCTGATGTTTGCACGAGGCAGGCCTAGTAAAACTGTGTAGGCAGATGTGAGTAAGCATGGTTTCAGCAGGGAAAAGACTGTGTGAGCATCAACAGTCTTATCCATGTGGTTTGATTGCCTACTTGGGGCCTTTCACACAGGGAGAGCAGGCCAAGCTGCAATAGGAAGAACGGGCAACTGCTAGGGTTGCTAGCAGTCTCCAGGAAGCAATTAGAGTTTCAGAAAACTAAGAAAAGCTGGGATGGTGGGGAGTGGAGCCAGCAGTCCTGATGTACAGGGAGAGCCTGGAGGAGCTGTAGGCTGTCATTGCAAGTGGAGCGGGTCACCAAGACTGCTGGCTCCACTAATATGAGCTGCTAGGTGCTTGGGAGGCTTGGCTCAATGCCCAGAGCTAGCCCATAAAGAGCTCTCACCTAAACGTCATCATCACTAACATCACTGTAGGCACCAAAAGAGCCCTCAAGGTCAAGGTAGTCTTCTTCCTCTTCTTCATGAATACGACCCTTAGTCTTCTCGTCCTCTATAGCCTAAAAAGACCCAATATCTGCTTACTCCCAATGCTCTCTGCCAAAGACAAAGCCTGCTCCATCTGTTTATCAGGCCAATATAAGCACACCTGGCCCACACCACCTGGCATTCCCTGTCCCCTGCTTCTGGTTAGCCATTCCTTTAATGTCAACCCAGATGATCACATTACAGAACTCCCCACTTTGGATGAACATCTGTCCCCCTCTACTTCCTTATTCTCTCTGTCTGCCTATTGCCTGCTCTTCCATGGTGTCCCCTGGCAGGAGGGGGAGGACTGGGAATAAATCTGAGGCTTTGAACCTTTCTGGCTTGAGTTTCTTTTTGCTAACAATCTCTTTGCCTGCCACGGTCTGACCTATCTTCACCCTCATTGTTACCTTCATCCCGGTATTCTCAAACTTCCACACAATGTGACGGCAACTCCCAGGGACTCTGTTCACACGGATGGAGGAGACTGAGCAGCAGAAGTCCTGGCAATTCCAGCATCTAAGGTAAATACATGCAGTGGACACTGGGATTGTCAGGGCCTTGGGTCTCATTCTCACTTGATCCTTGACGGTCGTCATCAGCTGATGCCACATGGGACATGACATCCACCTGGAAGCAAGAGTGTTGTACGAGCTCAAGTGAAGACATAGCTCAGTGGCAGGGTGAGTGCTCGCCTATCTGGTTGAATCCCTAGCATCAGAAAGAAAGAAAACAAGATGAAATAAGATAATAAACAGACTTTGACAGCTGATCTTGGTGCACACCCCTGGGCACGTCTGCAAGGGATTTTCTGGATTAGGTTCATTATAGCAGAAGCCAGTCTAACTGTGGGCAGCAGTTAGGGTGACGTGGGCCAGATACAGGGGAGGTCTGAGCTGAAAGAGTTTCCTTTTGTCTGCGTTTCTTAGCATTTCACCTGTGAGTGTATTTGCTCCGTTCATCTACCCTGTTGTTGCTGCTGCCATCCTTTTTTCCCTTTATTTATTTTATATTTTAAAGAATCTTTTTATTTTACATACCAATCCCAGTTCCCCCTCCTTCCCCTCCTCCTGCTCACCCCACCTTCTCTCCATCCCACCCCCCCATCCACTCTTCAGGAGGGTGAGGGCTCCCATGGGGAATCAACAAAGTCTAGCACATCACTTGAAGCAGGACCAAGGCCCTCCCCACTGTATCTAGGCTGAGCAAGGTGTCCCTCCATAGGGAATGGGCTCCAAAGAGCCAGTTCAAGCACTAGGGATAAATCCTAATCCCACTGCCAGTGGCCCCACAGACTGCTGTCAAGCCACACAACTGTCACCCACATTCAAAGGGCCTAGTTGGGTCCTATGCAGGCTCCCCAGTTGTCAGTTCTGAGTCAGTGAGCTCCTACTAGCTCAGGTCAACTGTTTCTGTGGATTTTCCCATCATGGTCTTGACCCCTTTATTCATAATATCGCTCCTCCCTCTCTATGAGTGGACACTGAAAGCATGGCCCAGTGCTCTGCTGTGGATCTCTGCATCTGCTTCCATCAGTTGCTGGATGAAGGTTCTATGATGCATTTAAGGTAGTCATCAATCTGACTGCAGGGGAAGGGCAGTTAAGACACTCTGTCTACTATGGGCTTGGAGTCTTAGCTGGGATCATCCTGTGGATTCCTGGCAATTTCCCTAGTGCCTGGTTTCTCACTAAGCCATAATAACTCCCTCTAGCAAGGTATCTCTTTCCTTGCTCCCCCTCTCTGTCCTTCCCCCAACTCAACCTTCCCCAATCCCTCATGTTCTCCTCCCCCTTTCCCTTCTCCCCTCTTCCCTCCTCTTCCATCCTCCCTCCTCTCCCCTATGCTCCCAATTTACTCAAGAGGTCTTATATATTTTCCCTTCCCAGTGGAATCCATACATGTCTCTGGGTCCTCTTACCTAGGCTCTCTGGGGTTGTGAATTATATACTGCTTACTCTTCCCTTTATGTCTAATATCCAGTTATGAGTGAGTACATACCACGTTTGTCTTTCTGGGTCTGATTACCTCAGTCAGATATTTTTTTTCTAGTTCCATCCATTTGCCTGAAAATTTCAAGATATCATTGTTTTTTTTTTCCCACTGAGTAGTAATTCATTGTGTAAATGAACCACATTTTCTTTATCCATTCTTTGTTTGGGGAGCATCTAGGTTGTTTCCATGTTCTGGCTTCTTAACTGACATGGAGAACCATCTTCAGTCTTCCAATATGAACAAAGGGCAGTGGTTCTTCCAGGGATCCTCCAGGATCTTCAGCACCAGATTGGAACTTCCAGGACACCCACCCTCATGGACTCAACATCTGTCTGCCCTCAGTCCCTCCAGTGGGCAAACAGCCTTTGCTGGACCACAGAGACCATATCTACCATATATTAAACACACATTCCTCCTATCAGTTATGTTCCGCTAGAGAACCGTGACAAAGAAATAAGAAAGAAATCAATAAAATTATTGAGGATCAGACAGACTTTGATACTTGCCCAAGATCACAGAGAAGTGAAACCTAATCTTGAACTCAGGCCTGTGACAGAAAATGTGTCGCCTCTTGTAATTTCTTTGTTCTGCCTCTGGGCATAAGAGAAAAAGAAAATGCCCAGCCTCATGAAATTTTAGATTGCTTGAATATGGAGAATGTCTTTTTGTTTCTGTGTTCACTCTGTTCTCAATGTCCAGCAAGGCTCCCCCATCTCCAGTGGGAGGTCTTGGGCCAAGCTTCTGATGAACAATCCTCTGGAAAGTGTGCTCAAGCAGCAGAAAGTGTGGACCAATGGGTGAATGAAGACACGGACACTGGCAGCCTCAGGCCTGGCTCTCCTAGAATGACTTTCATGGAGACAAAATGTTTGTGATATGGATTGAGTCCGGAGATTCTGTTAGAGACGAGTATACAGAGATTCTGTTAGAGACAACGGAGCATACAAAAATTCGGTTAGAGATGCGCACACAGAGATTCTGTCAGAGATGAGCACACAGAGATTCTGTTAGAGATAGAAATACAGAGATTCTGTTAGAGATGGAGCACACAGAGATTCCGTTAGAGACGGAGCACACAGAGCTCTCTTGCCTTTTTTTTTTTTTTCACAAATCCTCTCAAACAGAGCAAATTGCCACGGTAGGAATGTGATATTAAAAGGGAATCTGAGAGGTGCCCCCTTCCCTCAGCCTCTGGAATTCTTACTCAAAGGAGGGGCATTGCTGGGCGTATTTCATTGGAGACCAGCATTGCTCAGCATGATTAATCCTCACAAATACACGCTGGAGAGAAAGCTCGGCCATTTAAAACTAGGCTCGCAAGCAAAAAACAAACTAGCATGCTATGAGATCATCTATTTAAACACCCGGGAAAAATAAAACTTAAGTAAATTAACAAGCAAGTGCTGAGATCATGTCTAACTTTATTAATATTCCTTATTCACTATTACAAAAAGTATTGAAGTTCTGTTTCTTGTTTTACAAGCATGGCATCGGGGTTGACTTTAAACATTAGCCATGGAGAAAAGAAACATAAAGTAACCACACCTGTTTCAGAAATTAAGCAGAGATTCCTAGGAGCATCCAGAACAATGGGGCTTGGAAGTGGAGGGTGGGTGGGAGCACACAGAATAGCAAGATTATAGCAACATTATAGCCCCAGCCCTGCCATTTCCACCCAGTTGGTGCCACCCCGCCCAGGCTGAGCCCCTAGTGGGTAGGATGCAGTTGGTCAGGAGGTGTCTTGTCAGCAAACCTAAAAGGAAACATTCCAAATATTGTGGCCTAGGTCCTCCAGCAGCTCCATCCAGTACTGCCTTGTACCAAAGACGGGGATGTGGCACCAGAAACTTTCTGAATGACGAGCAAGAACCACAAGCCCTTAATGTCCGTTTTCTCAGCCAGTGCAAGAAAAGCCAGTGAATTCTCAGAGCTGCCCCTATGACCCCATCCAGGACAGCACCCTGATCCAGAAAGATGTGGGGAAGGCAGGACGGTAACTGCATCCCCAGAGCTTGCTCTAGAACTTTCTACTTGTCCTCCCAAGTTGGTAAGGAGGCTAGGAGACTATCAAAAGTCAAGGGCTGGGGAATTGGAAATACAACAAACAAAAAGAAACTTGTCCAGGCAGGGATGGAAGCCTGGTAGCAGGTGGATCAGTGCTTACCCTCAACAGACCCATGTGGTGTACCTGCCTCTTAGCCAGAGGCTATACAGGCCCTGAATCACAAGCTACAGGCTTCTGTGTACAGCCCTGAGTCCTAGTCTTCATCCTCAAGTGTACCGAGGTCTCCACTCACCAGCGCATCCTGGGAGAAGGGCAGTAACGAAGTTGGAATGGAAGATAGTGGGCTCCTTTCTGGTGGCAGATTTTGTTTGATTTTCTGTTTCCCTTAATAAATGGAATGCCATGTCACGAACAAGAATAAATCAGTCATTCGAAACAAAGAACAGAAGTATTTGTTTTAAAAACTTAGTGAGCTACATTTTAACAACTTTATCAAAGTCCAATGGAACCAACATTAAAAATTAACTCTGTAAGTTACAATTTGATAACTTCTCTTTTTCTCCTGGAGATAAAGTCTTGCTATACATCCAAAGCTGCTCAGAAAAATGTTCATGCTCCTGCCTCAGCCTCCTGAGTACTGGGCTTGCAGATGTATGTACTATACCAGGGTTACTAGGTTCTAGGTTTCAAACCACCAGCACAATGTAAACAATGAAACGTCCCATCTCCCAACTCTTTCCCGCCATCATGGCTTTCTCCCATTCTTTCTCAGGCATCCACTGCTCTGCCTTCTGCCACTGTAACTGGTTTCCATTTCCTAGAACTTCAAACGAGTGGACTCATATAGTATGAGCTCTGTCTTTAGTCTATAACTTTACACTCAGCAAAACTATTTTGAGTTTTCCCCCATATTACTGCTTATATGAGCAAAACATTTCCTTTTTAAGCAGTGAGTAATATTCCATGTATGGCTTTTCTGCTGCCTGTTTACCTTATCATCTATTCATTATATTTAGCTTGCTTCCAGCTGATCTTTTACTTCTTTTAAAAACAGGGTCACATGTCACAAGGGGTAGGGTAGTCTCAAGATCACCATGTAGCAGAGGATGACTTTGAACTTTTGATCCCTCTGAATGCTGGATTTATGCGCATGGACCTTGGATTCATTGCTCAGGTTTTTAGGTTGTACGGAAAGTTTCCAACTATCACGTATCTTTACCAACATTTGAGTCAGGGAGTCTTTTTAATTTTAGAATCCTCTTAAGTGGACTTTCATTGTGCCTAATTTTCGCTTTTTAATAATGATTCTGAGACCCTTTTCATGTTCTTTCATGAACATGTGGTAGCATCTGGGATCAGATCTTTTGTTCTGTTTTTATTGGGTTGTTTTCTCATTATGAACTTTCAAAAGTTCTTTGTATTTCTACAAGAAGTCCTTTATTCATCATCTCTCCCAGTTTATAGCTTATAATTACATCAATTTAGGAATCTTAAAAAAATGACTAGTTGAAAAATATTTGAGTAGAACTCTAAGTAGATCTGTTGTGGGAGTTCCCTGTATGTGTGGTGTAGGAGGTCCTTCTATGTGTTGCTTTCATTGGTTGAATAAAGAAACTGCCTTGGCCTTTTGCTAGGGCAGAACTTAGATAGGCAGGGAAGACAGAACAGGATGCTGGGGAAAAGGGCACTGTGGCAGATGCCATGATGCCTGGGATGGATGCTGGTTAGACTCATGCTGGTAAGCCACAGTCAAGTGGCAATACATATTAATAGAAATGGGTTAGATCAAGGTGTGAGAGTTAGCCAATAGGAGGCTAGATTATGGGCCAGGCAGTAATTTAGTTAATACAATTTATGAGTGATTATTTTGGGTATAAGCTAGTTGGGCAGCGGGACACAGCCCGCCACTCCTCTTACTACATATGTGCTGTAATTACCATTAATGAATAAAGAAACTGCCTTGGCCTGTTGAGGCAGGGAAGATGGAACTGAATTCTGGAAGGAAGAAGGCAGAGTCAGAAAGACACCATGGAGCTGCCAGAGTCAGACATACCAAATCTTTGCTGGTAAGCCACTGCCATGTGGCGATATACAGACTAATAGAAATGGGTTAAATTAATGAGTTAGCCAATGGGAAGCTAGAGCTAATGGGCAAAGCAGTGCTTTAATGAATATGGTTTCTGTGTGATTATTTCAGTTCTGGGCAGCTGGGACAAACAAGTGGCCTCCCTCCAATAGATTGGTGCCAAGCTAAAATCCACTGAGAAAGCTTAATTCTAGACACCAAAATACAGAGTTTAACACAGCTTCTTGCTGTTTGCTGGTGGCTTGCTGCAACTCCTTTAAGAGAGATTTTCCTGACTCAGCTGCAGCAGAAAAAAAGCAGCAGTTTTGAAATGCCGGCTTTCTGGGCTGTGTTTTGGAGACAGAGCATTTGGATGTGGTTTTGTGAGCAAAGTGCTAAGGCTTGATTTGTGGCAAAGTGGACCTGCTGAGTGCCTGGAAGTAGGGCAGTGTGGCTCAGAGGCACAAGTGGCTCTGCCATGCTGGGCTGGGTGGGGCAAGTACTGATTTACCATATTTGACCTAGTAACAGTGCAGCCTAAATTTTAAGAAGCACTTACCATTTGTGCACCCACACACTGAGACAATGGGGATGTTCTATTGGGAACTCACCAAGGCCAGCTGGCCTGGATCTGAAAAAGCCTGGGATAAAACCGGACTCGCTGAACATAGTGGACAATGAGGACTACTGAGAACTCAAGAACAATGGCAATGGGTTTTTGATCCCACTGCACGTACTGGCTTTGTGGGAGCCTAGGCAGTTTGGATGCTCACCTTACTAGACCTGGATGGAGGTGGGTGGTCCTTG